CTAATAGCTGAAAAATGATACGCAGACTAAATAGGAAAATAAAACTTAGGGTTTCTGCTAATAGGACAAAATTACAGTTGTTTTCTCTCTCTAATGAAATTGTTTAAAAATCTAAAGTTTTTCTTTTTCTGTCTAAAGAAAATTCAAACTTCTATTTCTTATATATAAGTGTGATCTTATCTCCTTTAACACATCTACAAAAATATAAAACATGTTTTACCTTTTATCCCTCAGTTAAATAATAAACAAGTTTTTACAATGCATATCTTCTCGGTGGATTTATAACTTAAACGAAGGTAATGTTGTTTATAATAATTGATATCTTGGTTGCAATTAGAAAAGTTGATAAATCAAGTGATCAACAATAAAATGAAAACATATATTATAAAACAATATGAACTAAATTTTTATGCATTATATTGAATATACTTTATTAAAAATCATAAATTAAAAATCATAAAATTCATATATTTTATGTTATGATTTTTTTTTTAAATAGTATTACTAAAACCGCCTTAAACCTCGAAAAAGTTAGGCACGGTGCAACGCCCCGACCCAGTTTTCCTTACCGCGGATCACTCTGTCTCGGCCAGACTTGGTCATTTACATACTAGACCAGATTTTCTACACGGCCAAAGCCGTGACCGAACCTCTATCAATTTTTGCCTATTTCCATAAACTCCTCGAAGAGGTTTACCACAAACAACTCCAACAGTAATAACAATAAATCAAGGCAACCACTTAACATTTACGCTTAAGAGCACTTAAGCTATCATAAGCAACATAACGTTAACACATATTTTGTCCTTTGCCGATATCGGATCGCCCATTGACTAGTACTCGCAGCCGCTTGGCTCCTCTTTCCCGAATGTACTTAATTATCCTTTCTTTCCCGAGCACTCTCCACTTCACCGCCTCACCTTGTTACCCAGTCACTCAACCAACCACCCCGCGTGACCGTGTGACAAGGGAGGTGGCGTGGATCACTATTCCATGCATCACATTCCACAGTTTCGGGTTTCCCCGCAAAATACTTGCAAGTCCTCATTGATCTCTCGACACTCCTCAAGAATCCTTCGGAAACTTGCCCAACGTCAACACCCATCATCAATACTTGACCATCACTCTTCACTTACCCCTTCCTCGGCTTCTCTCGGAGAGCTTTCGTTACATCCCGACGAATCGTTGATGCATCACCATTGTTTTCCACGTTGATCATTGCGGCTGTCGGGAATCACTTGATCCTTCGCGGAATACTCCAATCCCATCGGATCTCTCGATAGTTCCCCTCTTTTCCCTTGTTATCTCCAATTCTGACTCGATCATTCTCCGCGACTACCCCTTGCCGCGATTATCCGATGAATACCTATATGTCGCTCATTCAGTTACCCATAGACACGCGCCGCGACCCTTAGACTCGTCCGCCGTTAATCGTATACTCGAACAATCAAATCGTACTCGATCGGTCTACCCACAGAGCCAATCGATCTACCCACAGACTTGATCGATCTCCCCGCATAATCGATTGCGACACGCACCGACACGATCCAAGTTACCCACAGACCACTCGCACTCGATTAGTCTACCCACACGCTCGATCGTTCTAACCACATACTCTGATCTCTCTCAGATTCACTCATGGATTCCCTTCTTTTTCTTTCTGTTCTCCGCGTGAACTCACTCGCTAATCTTTCGATCCTTTTCTGTTATGTCACCTCTCGTCTCGATGATCCGTCACGCAGACACGATCGCCGTTACACCCAGACACGATCAAAGTCTCCCACGCTCGAGTCTCTCACTGATTCTCTCGAGCATTTTTCTCGGAAAAACTCTCTCCATTTCCCCCTACGTCTTTCTCTCCATTTTTCCGTCAAGAAAACTAGTCTAAGGGTAAGTTTCTATCGAGAAATCGCCTTAAAACTACCCAGATAACCGTTCCTGCTTGGATTCCGCGTCCAAGCCCAGAATTAATCGTTCCCGTATTTTTCATTAAAACTCGCGACACGAGCCAGTAACTGTCATGTCCAAAACAAACCGCGGTAACTGTCCTGTCCGAATCCGACCATGGTAATCGTCCTGTCTGAAATCAGACTGCGACTCCGAAAAATTCGCCTAGCTCGGATTTAACCGCCCAACTCAGTCTAACTTTGACTTTTTATTTCTCGTTGACCCAACTGCCCCTCTTGGCTCGGATCCAACTCGATCACTTCGAACGTTTCATTATGCGGTGGTTAGTCCGCGGAACACGGGTGGTACACACGGCCCTGCTTCTATTTAACAAAAAAAATGCTCAATTAATGATACTATATCGTCGTTGTATGTATTTAGCTCAGTTGTAATCGGGGGTTTTCCTCTTATCAAAGAACCACCAATTAATTCAAATTCCTCTTCTTCAAATTATATTCTCTCTCACTTTGGATAAGCCAAACTTATCACTATCATAAACTAAGATTAAGAGACGGAGTCATTTCAATAAAGACTTCATAATTTGCCATGCAAAAGATCAGATTTGATATTCTGTTAATGGTTAAATAGTTGGTTTGGTCTACCACGTTTTACGTACCCCTCTTTAAACTATGCATTACCATAAATGTAACCACTTCTTATTGTCACGTTAAATAGTTACTACATCATGCACGTGATTCTCATTCATTTTAGATCCTTTACT